TGTTGCTGTTTGATAAACAAGCTGTCTGGGGACCGTTTTACCAGTTTGACAACACTATACACAGCTGGTGCTGGCAGTATGATGCAGTATATAAAGTATTCATCGTGTCTTAAAGTGAGTGATAAGAATTGGGTTTGGAGAATCACTGACAGTGCAGAATCAATTTTTTTCAGAAAATGTGCCACCAGTCTATTTCCCGTGAAGAAACATCACAAAACAAATTATTTTAACATAACAATACTGCCATTCCCCCTATTCACTTTTGCAGAGAGTGAAAAGTAGGAGCAGAAAGAAAGAAAGGGGAGAGACTGTTCACCAGCATCATCCAGTTCTATTTTTAGCTTGATGGTAAATCTCAGCAAAACACCAGGTAGCCTACCCATTTATTTTATTTGGACAGCAACTGAAAGAAAAGGCTTTCTGGCTGATCTAGATTCATCAGCTCTGAGAAATACAAAAACTCAAAGGTGCAATCTTACACTGAGCTTTGGAATAGTGAGTGAAGTCAAACAGAGGACAAACAGTGGAATCTGTAAGACTGTACTCTGTACAGAGGGAGGAGGTGACGAAGATGACCGACGGTGATTCGAAAAAAAAATCTTAATAGAGGTATTACACCACAATACCTGTCTGGCTCAAGGTTCAGCTTATAGTGGAAGCAGAAACAGGGATGCACAATCAAGTGTAAAACTGAAGTGTGAATTCCCGTGCCAGCTGGTTGAATTACTCGTCTCATTAAAGGATAATAAACTATCAAATGTAATGTTGAGCTGCTTGCAGAAATAAACATTACACATTTGTATTTCAGGGTAGCACTATTATGATCATATAAAAACCACAAAGGGTCATGCAAAACCTTGTGCTAAAATGATGACTTTGTTTTTTTTTTAACATTTAAATTGTCATTAAGTTGCAAAGACATCAAAAGTTTATGATATTTCTTGTTTGTTTGTTTTGTTTTTTTGCCATAAGGTAGCAGTAATGCAACTACAAGCTAAAAACAAGAAAAACATAAGGAGCATGTTAAGATGCTACCAGTAAAATTGGATTAGATACTCATTTGCAACAGTATTGATACTAACAGTGCAGTCTTTGCTTCACACCACCTCTGAATCTGAATCACAAGCAGGCAGTGATTCAGCCTCTCCCCTCAGCTAGCAGCTGAACACATGAACCAGCTAGCAGCTAAACACATGCACACCATCAAGACAAATTTAGCAAAGCAATGTTAAAGACAATCACCCCAGTCTTTATGAAGAATTTTGTTAGATCAGTAAAGCTTCTGTTTGAACAACATTTAAGTATTAAACAGTTCTACATGTTAACTTGCATGGCACACACTTTGTTAATGTTAACCAACAGTCGCACTAGCTATCCTTCTGCTAGCATGGCTACACAATGAAAAATCCATTAATATTTCTTACACTCTGAGTCACACCTGCTTTATTTTAAGGACCGAAGCTTTACTCCACACAGCTCTTATAATTCCTAAATCCTTATTACTCTGCTCTAATTATCTTTCAGTGTTTGGATGATTAAAACTGAGGCTCTCATCTGTTTTGCTAGACAGTCAGTGAATCTGGGCACGAGGCCATATTTCTGCAAAAGCCGAAAAGGGGAGTACAAACCGAAAGCTTAGATCACACACACTTGCTGTTACACTTTAATGATGAAATACAGAGCATATCCATATTATCTTTGGCTTACATTTCATAGACCCTACACTCGATTATAATGAAGATTTTTCTCCCAAGTGTGTCAAGAGATGATTTTAAATGAGAAGTTCATCCCCTGCATGGCTCCTATGATTGAAAATGACAAAGTTAAGATCAGCATACATACGTGAAAGATATGAAATAAAAACATCTGCATTGTCCATGTTGCTGGGGCTTTGAAGAGTAATGTTTTGATAGGACCTGTTCTACTTCACAAGTTATACTGGGAACTGAGGTCAAGTGATATTTAATAAAAACAGATACACAGCATGCTTGATATATGGCTGTACTAACAATAACCCCACACAAACTGCGCATCGCCATCAATCTGCCACCAGCCTGCCAGAGCATTGCAGGGTTTGTATGATTTTATAAAGAAGGCTGAAGTAATATAAGGCAGCACAGTGTAGTTTCCATTAGCTAGTGAATTTTACGGCGAGACTCAAAGAAATATAATTAAGATTAACTGGAGAAGACATCCAGCTACAGCTGGTGAGAAAAAAAATGGCTTTCCGTGCCTCCAGAGAAGCTAATTTGTCTTCTGAGACTGTTTACTAAAAATAAGACTACTCTCTTGATTTCTGTGAAAAACAAACTCCTTCCCATAGAGGCTGCACCTCACTCTCAGGGGCAGGCTGTGCTGCAGCCTTGATGGTTTGATCCCCAGCCCTTCCGTGTGTTGAAGTATCTCTGGGCGAGATAGTGAACCCAAATTTGTTTCCAGTGGCAGGTGAACACCTTGCATGGCAGCTCGTCTGCCACTGGTGAGTAAATGAGAAACACACAAATTGTAATCCACGTACCTTTGCCTGGGTTTAAGAATAAACTGGATTTTTATTTTGTTGGTTCAGTTTCAGATTTCTGTCAGGATATTATTGGCTCATGCTTCATGCTAAATATACTGTGCTGTCAGTCTTTGTTCAGATCATCATTACTCTCTAAGTTCAGGTTTTTCTTTAACATTGAACTTACATCAGAATTGTGTGGCTAAGGTTTTTAAGGGTAACAAATATAAAAGCTATATTTTTATTTCAAGTGACATCGTTTAGGGCAGATTATTCGATTTTTAAAAGACCAATGACTCTTGAGTCACAAACATTTCTTTACTTATACGCAGAAGTTGGTGTCTTGTAAATCGTCATAGAAGTTACAAGACTTCACTTCATACACACTTACATGCCACTTCATTTCACGTGCCAGTTCACCAGCTTGTTAAGACAAATATTCAATCTGCCAATCACACAGCCACAAGCCCCAACATTTAGGCATGTAGACTTGTCCAGGATGACTTGCTGAAGTTCAAACCAAACATCAGAACGAGGAAGAAAGATGATTTAAATGACTTTGAACGTGGCATGGTTGTTATTCCCAGACAGACTGGTCTGAGTATTTTAGAAACTGATAATGTGCTGGGATTTTTTTCACACTATCGTTGCTAGATTTTATAGAGTATATAGAGTGGGGTCTGAAACTATCCAGTGAAGCTGCAGTTCTTTGAGTTAAAATACCTCAATGATGGCAGAGGTCAGAGGACAAAGGCCAGTCTGCTTTCATCTGATAAAAAGGTAAGAGTAACTCAAACAGCCACTCGTTAGAACAAAGGTATGCAGAAGAGCATCTCTCTGAACCAGATGGGCAGCAGACACAGCAGCAGAATACCAAACTATAGACAATAGAAGACTGGAAAAACTTTGCCTGGTTTAGAAAGTCTCAACATCTGCTGTGATATTCAGATTATAGGGTCAGAATTTGGCAAGCAATATGACAGTATGGATCCATCCTGCCTTGTATCAATAGTTCAGGATTGTGTTGATAGTGATGTAATGTGTGTGTGTTCATTAGTGATGAAGTGGCAGTTGATTGTTTGTGGAGCATTCTGGAAAAACCAAAATATTTCTACTGTTTTCTAATGGTAAACACATAAAAAGTGTCTTTGCACACTTCCTGAAAGCAGGACAGAATAAGTTAAATAAAGTAAGGAAAGTACTGAAGTGGGAATTTTGTGCACAATTTTAAAATGGTTTGGACAATTTTGTCTGAATCAGCTTGCTGACAATAGGGATCTACTTTGTGTTATTTCAGAGATGTTCGCCGTTGGATGTCACTGCACCCTGTGCCTTTTATTGTGTTCTACTTTGAATCAGAGGAATCGCTACTTTAAAGACCAAGCCACGCCGAATATTATCCCCTCTGTGTTGTGACACTTTCTGCCACCACCTGTAGTAATAATGATTTGATATTTCATTGATCCCTGCGGGGAAATTTTCCATCCACTCGCAGTTGATGTAAAAGGTCAGAGCACAGAGGCCACTGTGAGCCTGAAGCTTCCGGGGATTTGGTGACACGCTCACAGGCTTTTCCGCAGAGCAGATGCATGAAAGAAGAAAAGTATCACTACTCACAACATCACAACCCGGACTGATGGTATCATGCATCCAGGTTGTGAACCCACTTATTAATGTTTGACACTATATCACTGGAATATGGCTTAATTTGCACAGCAAAACCAAATAAATAAATAAATCCTGGTCTTTCACTACAGCTATAAAACTGCAGCAGGTGCATAGAAAGAGAATAATAGCAGCCCTTTTAAGCACTTCATTTCTAACAGATTAGCAGAAAGAGCACAAACGCAAACAGGTGGCAAGTGTGAGCAGCAAACCCATCTTTCCAGTGAACAATAAACCTTTTATGCCACAGAAATGTCAGGACTTCAAAGGCTGATACTGTCCTGTCAACACTCTTTCACATTCCACATATCCAATTTAACAATCAAATGAGCTGCATGAAAAAAAAAAAAAATCTTCAGCTATTTTTAGCAATGCTGAACTCCTTTGCATTATTCCCTTTCTTTTGCACTTTGTCCTTGATGTTTATATTGTGATTTACGGTTTCTTTATAGACAGAGTAACGAATGCAAAATGTGATACATATTGTGACCATTCACCTTTAGTAACACGGGTCTGTCTGTAGGTCACTCGCACCTCACCTGTCCAGATTTGACCCTGCAGCAGCGTCACAGAATCTGACGCAGACCTGCTGTGACACCTTTACGGACACACGGAGACAGGCAGGTCAGACAAACCGTCTGACTGATATAAAGACGGACCTGGCTGGACAGTCCACCGGACCGCTTCTCACACAGAGGTCTGTATTGACCGTAGCGCATTCCTACGGATCGCCTTCATCCACGCAGCACACGGCTGTGCGCGCCAACATCCAGCAGCAGCACGAGACGCAGGTTTCAACCTGTTAGCACAGACCAGGCATGTAGTGTCTCCTTACCTTTTACTCTCGTCTCCTTTGACATAGTGTCCTCTCCCTTGTGATTCTGTCAGTCTGCGGCCACTCAGCAATGCTGTCACGTTATTCTCCGTTTATACACCGTTTCGTCGGATAGTTAATTGAACATCGGCTTTTCCTCTGTCCCCTCTCTCCTGGCTGCTGCACCTTGACGCTTGCCAGGCTGGATCAGGGTGAAGTGGGGCACGGGGAGGTCTACAGCTGCCTCATCGGTCTCCTCTCAGCGATGAGATGAGAAAATTAAACAAAAAAGCCAAAAACAGGAGAAATCTGCAGCTGTGTTCTCATTCACCTGAGTCAAGTCCCTCGGAGCATCGACCCGCCCCTCCGCAGACATACTTTGGCTATGTGGTGTATCTGTGCAGACTTGGCTCACATGTCATGCCCACCCAGCTCCCGTTCCTCTCTCCTCTCCGCCGCTAACAGCAGCCAGAGTTGTGCCAAAGCTCCGGTCTGCAGCTTGACTGCCTCCAGCGGTGCGCGCACGTCCGCGGCCGCTGAAGGGCGTCCGTCTTCCTCTTCCTGTGTCCGTTTTCTGTCTGTGCAAAACACTCAAGGAGGACCCTAAATGGAGACCTAAAAAGCAGCTGGTCCATTGCTTTTCTCATGCCTGGAGCCGTAATGAAAAAGCAGTTTACCAGCTATATTGTCACTGGGACGACACATTTAATTAGCCAAGGCAGTTTAAATCAGTTTTATTTAATCTATCATGCCAGAAGCCTTTGCAGAAATTACACATACTCTGTAAGAAAGGTTGCTGCATTTGTGTGCTGGGGTCCCAAAAGTCCGGTTTAAAAAAGAACAAGGCACAGCTTTAATGAAAGAGTAGAAAAAAATACACAGAATATTAAATGTAAAGTAGATTAAAGTCTTTCTGCAGTGTCATACAATCTGGTTTTGCTGTATAGAGTTTGACTGTAAGCAAAAATAAATAAATTAAAATAGAAATTTTGATATGGAAAACATGTGGCATAAAGAAGAAGAGCATGGGGGCGCAGTGAAACAGGATGGAGGGGGGAGAGCCAGCACCCCTTTAAACCATCCATCACAAAGCAGCAGATGCCAGATTGGTCGGTCAGCTTGGGCAGTCACTCAGGTAGAGAAGCAAATCTTTTGGGCTTTGAGAAGTGCTTCAAAATGCAACCAACCATCAAAACAAAGCACATGGGTGAAGCACATGAACCACGTTTCTCTCAGCAGCTTTAAATCCTTTAAATCCAGTTGTGAGATCTGGTTTAATCTCACAGATGCTTCACCTAATGGATTCCTCTAATTCATTTCTACGCTTATTTCAACCTCCAGTCCTGCAATACTTGACCCGAATAGCTGCAGAATAGCTTCCCTCACGTTTCTTTATGGTGCACATTAAGCAGCAGTGTGTCAAGTGGTCACAGTAACGCCTGCTGTTTTCAACACTCGCATCCACATATGTGACCACACATGAGCTTACACAGTCCCTTAAGGATGGTCTGGTTGTGGCATCAATCGGCAGTCACGTCCACACAAATGAATATTGATGGGGGAAATAGTGATGGCCGAAACATCACCCTGGAATAAGACAGCCAGACATTCTAAGTTACCAGACTCTACTAGGAATACACACAGCCAATTTGTATTTATCATGGAAGTCAATACCAATACACTTCTGGTGTAGAACAGTGAGTTGCAATCCCTACTAAGGAAAACTAATAGGGAAAAGCCTTAAGGCCAGGAAGACAGGAAGACAGATTGCTCTGATTACACCAAATGGCAGCACTGCCTGGATCCAAGAGGAGAAGAAAGGCTAATTGAATTATGTGGATTTCTTTTGTAAGAAGAATTCTCTTCATGCCATTGGAGACACAACTCAAAGCAGCACTTTGCTTCTCAACAGTGGCTTTTGATGTTATTTGATGTCAATATTCAGTAAGAAATATTTTACTGAACCATACAATTATAAAAAATAAAAAAAAAAAGATCTCTGAGGCAATTCAGGGCCAGTCTAGGCACTGAGAATTCATTGTAAACATGACTAAAGTCTTACCTAGTAAAGGCAGAAAGAAACTCAATCACACTAAATGTTTTTGTTGGTATAAACACTGCAGGGGTTTTGAAAAATGGATGAAAGAACTGTCTCAGCAGCATTAAGCTTTCAGGGAGCCGTTAAAAGACTCACAAACTACAGTGCAGGCAGTCAGCAAACTGAATTTAGCACCCAAGGTGCAGATTTGTTGTTCTTTTCTGTCTTTAAAAAATAATCCAGCAACCTTATGGAAGGAAAGGCACCGTGCTGTATGTCACAGCACTCTCACGCAAGGTGAAGTTGTCAGCTGGCTGTTTTTACCCTAAGGTGCTGTTTGATGATGTGGCTTGCTGTTTCACACACATGCAGATATACTTACTATTCTACTGTTTAACCCTACAATTCACTGTTGCTGTGACGCTTTTGTCCTCTTTATCATATTAGCAGCTTTAGAGAAGTACTGTGATCCAATAGGAATGAATTGGAGGTTTAGAAGAGAACTGAACTGTTGTTTAACCAGCAAGTCTCTTGTCGTTAAAATCTATATTTTAAAGGAGACATGGCCTACAGGGCACACCACTATAAAGTTGTGAAAATAATAAATTAAGACATAATTAAAACATACAAAGAAAACAAGAAAATGACTTAAAATAGGAAAGGAACAAAATACAATTCAAGCTTAGGAATAGTATTTTTACTCCTTGGTTACAAAGGTTTTTTTGTTTTTAAATAAGAGTAATATTCTTCCAGGCAATGTTGATGGACAGGTTGACTGATGAGGATGCAGGAGTGTCCATGGTTCACAGATGACAATGTGATCTGTAGGGAGTCGGTGAAAGAAATCCTGGAGAAGTGGAGGTATGCACTGGAGAAAAAAAGGAATGGCAGTCAATATAAGCAACGTAACTGTAATGAGAGTAAAAAGCTATTAAATATAAATTCAACACTTTTAATCAGCTTCCGATATCATGTCTGCTTCATTTGCTGTGAAATCTCAAGGAAACAAGCTTTACCTGCTTTCCAATTAATCATCCAATTCATATTTTCTTCTTCTGGAGTTCAGGTATAACAGTAAAAACACTCCAGTTTCATTGTTCATTATTCATATAAAACACAACTATTATAGGTATTATGAATTGATTTTTAATGTAGTGAACATATTTATAATTGTAACCTGAGTAAATTACGCTGGGGTGCAAACTGACTTACGTTTACTTCCTGTAAGTACATTTAAGGCTACCTTATTATTTAACCTTTGCAAATGATATTAAATTCTTATTAAATGTAGTTGTTGCTATAGTGTTATTACACTTTAACCACCTACAGTAACATGCTGCTAACATATTCATGCATCAACCATGAAAATTGAAAACACCAGTTTCTGTAAAATCATGAGCATTGAATGCTTTCACTTTTAATTTGTTCTACAGGCTACGCTTTGTTTATCCGTACTTTCTCCTGAATATATTTTGTACATTTGAAAGCAGGGCTTTAACACTTTTACGCTGTGGTATTGCAACTTCAAGTGGAGAGCATTACTACTTCTCCCACTCTTTGATCAACCATGATATCAAAGAAAGGTCATGCTGCTCCTCCTGCTGAAGTGAGCTATTCTGTATGTCGGCCTATACTCAACTGTATCTTACATTAATAAAAAATAAATGAAGAATATATCGTTTTTCTAAATAACTCCAACATGTTCACTCTGCCTTGTACGCACGTGTATTGAGCTTGACAGATAATCATTTCTATCTCATGATCCATCATTGGGAGTATAGTTGGCTCTCTGCAAGGACTCGATTCATATAATAACTACATAACAAACAATTCAATCTGAGAGGTATTATTAATCCCAACAATGCAAAGCCGTGACAGATGCTTCCCTTCAGTCATGTATTTAATGAGATCTCAGATGGCCAATTGCGTCTCAAAATGGTCTGAAAAAAAAGGGGAAAATATGAGAATGCAAACGATGGTGGTGTCTGCGCGACAGACTGCTCAGTGATGGCCAGCATCTCAGCAGAAATCATCCCTCAGATACTTCGTCTTCGACAGAATATCCCCCGAGAGGAGCAAACATGACTAACAAGCAAGGATCCATCTGTCGTAAACACTGAGCAAAACAGACCCAACTGCCACAAAGCAACTTTAACACACCTGCATGCCAAAGTGCCCCTGCGAACGTGAATATATTGCAGTCAGTGTTCTGATAATGAGTCAGCGCTGACCGATGGCAAGGTCGAATCTCTGTGATCATTTGAAATTATAATGATGAGCAAAACTGTTCTAATTCTGGTCTTTCCACAGTAATATGTTTGTGCATGGTGGTTACTGCATTAACGCTGAAAAATCAAAGACATCCAAGTCAACCACAGTAAAGCCTGAAAGATCAAAACAGTTTGGTCTTACTGGAAGATTTGCTAAGCTGCTCCCTGATGTTAAGCAGTGCTGACAAAGCAAATATACACTGATTTGTCTTTTAAACGTCTCCTGAACTATAAAAGCTAAAAATAATCATAAATCAACTCATTATTTTATGGTCTTTGATGTTTCCCAGTCGCATGTCAGAGCTACCTGCCTTCCTTATACCTATGTAAAGACAGCAACACCTCCCTCACATTGAACGTACCAGTTTGTATTTATCAGAGATCGCAAAGGGGAAATGTGCACTGTGCATGAGCCTGTTAAAGCTTGCATGCATTCTGACACCCTCGTACAAAGAAACACGCACACACAAAAACACACAACACAGCCTGAGAGGAAATACGGGGCAGCTGATGCTGTGTGAGCTAATTCATTCAGTCACTGTATGTCCCCAATCAAAGGCTGGTCCCCACAGGCCAGTGCAGCATCTGCATGTGCCCCCATTGCTCTATCTGCCTGGCTTTCATGTTGCTCTCAAGGGACTCAGACATTTTCTCAGCCTGTCAAGTTTGTCCTGTTTAATTTGTGCTACACATTTTACCACAATTAAGAAAGAAAAGCACAGAAAAGAGAATTATTAAAATAGTTCTCAACCAAGTTCAAAACCCTGAAAAGGAAAAAAAAATCCCTAACCATACCCTTATCACTTTCCTTTCATGTGGTCCAACCCTCGAGTGGACAGAGATTACAGGGGTAACACATTAAATTTAGAGGGAAGTATTTTTTCTGTTCTGTGACACTTTATTTAGACATTAAAATGAATGAGAAATCAATTTACAAGACCTCAAGCGCACCATGTCCTTGGCTTACTACATCAGTTTGGTGGAAACCGTATGCAATTAATTTATTTCCATATGCCAATGTGAAAATAATAAGTGTGAGTAATCCTCAGGGAGATTTAGACCAAGTGCAAGGGGACGGCTGTAATCTTATAATCCTCTGTAATGTTCTAATGGTCTCTCTAAGCTTATCTACACTAAACTAACTTTCCCAGAGGTACGCAAACACAGATACAGATGGACCAAAAGAAGTAATGTGACTAATGCTCCCTGTGTAACTCAACAATCTCTTCTGCCGAGCTTTACAATAAAATGTGTGATCCCAGTAAAATAAAATCCTATTGTGTCATTGCAGAAGTTATCTATGAACGTGTTTTCAGACCTTTGTCTAAGATCAAATAAATAAAAACTTTCAAAAATAAAATATCTGATTGTACAACATACAAAACTCTATATAAAAATAATAAATAATAGTAGTCCAGGGTTTGACAATGTAAAAATTTCCATCCACAGCAAACATAATATCAAAGGTTTTAAAGATAATGCTGCATCTATAATGCTGCAGCATCCTATTGTCCGGCCAAAGATGCGGCTGAAGCGGGTGGCGACCGGATCGGCTGCAGGAACTCAGAGGTGAAGATGGCCTCAGCATACTCCTCCACGACATCCTGAAACTCTGCTGCCACATCAGCCAGAGCCTCTGACAGCAACTCGTCAGCCAAGCTGTGAGAGGATAACAGGTGCAGATGTTAGAAAATATGGTTATTTTCCTTAAATCATATTTAACCTGTATAAAAAAAAAGTCTTCTAAAATTTGAAAACGTATACGCTTCAATTTGGTAGAATTCATTTGTGGCATCAAAACAAATCACATATGACAATGGTACTTATGTTGCTACTGCTCCTGCTATTTTTGGTCTTCTCACAAGATTTTAGGCTAGACATTGTGAAAGACATGCAAAATAAAAAGGTCAGTGGGCCTGAAAACAATGGAAAATGCAAATCACTTGAAACATGTCCTTTGAAATTATAACCACTGTGCACAAAGTAAATGTAAATCATCAGTCTTGCGTCATTATCTTCAAAAATGCAGAAGGTCAAATTAAAGCTGGTTTCTCTGCACAAATGCGGTATCTGTTTTTTAAGAGGTGCACATGCAAAACTTAGTTTAAAAACATAAAATAGAGCAAAATAACTTTGAAGCCTCATGAACTGTGTGCAGCACCAAGCTAAATTTCAGTGTTTGATCATTATCTGGGTCAGCACACACACACACACACACACACACACACTCAGGCAGAGACTGAGGCAGGGACATAGAGGATGAGGGAAAATGGGAAACACTCTCACATATCCACTGAAACGTCAGTGCAACAAAACTATCAGAGTAATTGTGTGTTTTTGAACTCCCTGTTCCTTTAAAGGGGCATGACAAGAACACTTTGCTCACAGCACCATATAGCGAGAGAAATCCAGAGAAGAGTGTGCCGCTGTGGTTTGGGAACAGGCATTATAAAATATCATTAACATCAATATACAAGGAACCATGCTTGCCCTTCTGAATTACTCCAAGTTATCTTTATATTTAACACACCAGTAACTGCACGGCGTACCGTTTATGCTAATGTATGAAAATCAGAATAAAAAAGCAGATTCATACAAAGTGAACTAGGATCCTAGGACCCTACTACTGTTTTATTTACATCCATCCATCCATCCATCTTCATCCGCTTGTATCCGCGATCTCGTCCTTTCGGTCACTACCCACAGCTTTACATGCATAAAGAAATTCAAATAGCTGTTTTGGCAGTGCTGACGTCTTTCTATCTTGCAATCAGTCTGTTAGCAGACAGAATGAATGAGATCCTCCAGGTGGTAATGCTCCACAGCAGCACAGGGCTGCTCATTACCATCTCATCACACAGAACGCTTTCTGCACTGTGTCAGAGCAGCAGGGGTCATACTAGTCTATACGTATGCCTTCTTCGTCTCCAAAAACACTGAGATAATTGGATGGTTTCTCACGCAATATCTTGTTGTTGTTTTTTCCAAGTACAGATTCATGTCTTAAAAATTTTGGCTTTTTGATGTGAATCTGATAATGAGCCAGTGACACAGTCAGCCAGATCCCATGGGTGGGACTGGACAGTTTTTCAGATCTAAACTTAAGAAAGACAGTTTATCAAGCTGCTTGGTATCCCACGCAAGTCTGTGACGCAGAGGAAAGAGGATTTCAGAAGTTTAGAACTCATATATTAAACGCATAAGTTCAATATGTTCACAATGATGGCACAAAGCCAGCGTTGCACCAGCAGCGGCCTGTCAAGTATGTAAGTTTGTGAGTGGGAGAGAAGACCGGCGGCGAACAACAGAGGCGCCGGTCTTCAAATGCAAACCATAAACTCTGCATGATCCTCTCTGAGTGAGCGCCTCCTGCTGTGCACAGTGTCCTTCAATCGTGTCCAGGGACAAAATAAATAACAGAAAGGACAGATCTGCTTCAGCGTGGTTCTAGTTACAAACACTAAGCATGTCATATGATTAATGTGTAGCACAACTTAAAAAAACCTTATATTTCACTCTGAAACTGCTGCAGAGTGGAAGAGACTCATTCATAGCAAATAGTTATATTAGGTGGAAAATGTCTTGTTGTTTGAGGGCGTTCTAGATGAAACTGAACACTGAAAAAGGTCCTGCTGAGATCTAATGCCCCTTAATAAAGATACACATGAACACTTTATGTGCATTTAGAAGGATAACTTATTCCGAGAGAGGAAGCTGTAACTTCACAACCAGTGTTTATGTCTGTCATCATCTGACACTGGTACAGGACAGAAATCAACCAACATCCATAATGCAATCTTTGTTTTTGCCTGTGTTGTGGCCAAGGAAGGGAATTTCGTAATTCGTGTTAAAGGAAGCAGAAACACAGTAAAGCACGCACAACAGGATCTCCTGCTCTCCATTGGTCTTATAGCAAATGAATCAGCCATCGCTGCGTTCACAATTTCATTCACTGCTTGTGTTCGAAATGACTGTAAAGAGGTCAGAATGTTAGGCCATGGCAAAGAAAAATCTAACTGGGCAGCACTGCTGCTTTGTCTCTCATGTTGGACTGAGCACAGACTGACTTATTCTCACATCCTATGGTACAAAGTGACATAGCAGAAGGGCCAGCAATAGCAGATTAGCATGCTAACGCAGAAGGAGATGAGTGCAACACAAGACATAATGTCCAGCTATCTATTTTCTTAACAGCATGTCCAATTCAGGGTCGCGGGAGGGCTGGAGGCTATCCCGGCTGTCACAGTACAAATGCTGGGGTACACGCTAGACAGTTTGCTAGTCTACTGCAGGGCTAACACAGAGAGAAACACAAACATAGCTGTAGATGTGAGCATGCTGTATTTCACAACCAATTAATCAATCACTAATTAACCTAACATGCATGTCTTTGGGCAGCAAACGGAGTATCTAGAGATAACCCAAGCAGGCACAGGGAATACCCTCACAGAAAGGACCCAGATGGTCAGTGAATTTGAACTCTGGACTCTCTTGCTGTGAAAAAACAAGGCTAACCACTGCACTGTGCCGTTCAATATACAACGCAAAGGTAGCACTAGTGGAGATCTATGCACACATGTAATGTCACAGGTGTTAAATGTAAATGTTTCAAGCTGTTTTTATCCTATACTGTTATCTTACATATTTACCTTTAAGCTTAAGCTAAGCACAAAACAAGAAGGCTCGAGCGGTTGAGGGAGCTTATAAAAATCTTTATCTATAGCACTGTATTGAGATCCCTCCCCAGACCACACAAGCCCCACGCACACCTTGACCCATGTGAGCATAATGACTCATGTGATGTTAGGGTGGAGCAGCGAATTGACACCTTGGCTCACGTGACTCTAATCACTCACATAATGACAAGGTGGGTCAGTGACTCTCACCTTCAGTGGGACAACCCCACTAAGAGGTAAATTCCTGAGACTCCCTATCAGCTTTTATAACTGAAAAAGCCTCTCGGATGAAAGGTGAAACGTCTTTAAAAATCGAAAAATACAACTGCAGTTGTCTTAAACTCAAGCACTTTAGACTATCCCGATGACTGAGACAGATCATAACTGCAATGCATACTTCAAACACTGGTGGCAATCAGCCAGTGCAAACAAAATTCCCTGATCATGTTTATGCACATGTCTCATTAGCTTAAGTCATTATTAAAACAATCAGTTTTCTACCCGTCTGCAACGGCCCAGGGGTCGAAGCTGCCCACAGCCTCATGAGCCACAGCGCGCAGGTAAGCCTCATAGTCTTCCCGGTACTGCCGAATGCCTCTCAGCATGCTGCCTGGCACTGAGATAACAGGCGCCTTGCTTCCCTCCAGAGGGCCAGGGAACATGGTGTTGTTTGCAGGATGCTGCTCATCTTGGGATGCCTCCTCTGTCAGGCTGTTCTCACACAGGAAGCTGCGAATGTGGAAAAACAAGACGATGCTCAGAAGGTGAGACCAAGAAACATATTTTTTCAATATCTCAAAATTGTATTTTCAGTTCAATTCAGTTTTATATCATTTTAAAGGCACTTTAGGGCAGGTAAAAACCTCATAATATTATAGAAAGAGTGAGAATCCCATTGAGAAAGCAACACGATGAGTAGATGACCTCTAAGAGATGTTTATGTGGAGAAAAGGTAACTCTGCGGTAGAACACAAACTCTCGCCGTGCCTGACGTGAGGGTGTAGATGATGAATTTAGGAGAGGTGTCAGAGTGCAAGCAGCTCTCTTGCTTGCCCCTTGCTCAGAATGAGCAGGGGCTCAGCTGGGCATCGCCGTGGTCTGGCTTTATAATCCTCTCTGCTTTGACAAATCAGCCTGGCTCTTGCAATGGCGCTCACTGTGCTATATTTAGTGTTGCAGCAGCTCTAAAGCAAAGTGCCTCTCTATTGTGCTCCCTGGGCCTCAGCTAAACTTGTTTCAGTGTTGACTATTGGGGCTGCAACCCATGGGGTGGCCATAAATATCAAAGTGCCAGCACAGCGAACCATGCTTCCAGTCTGAAATGGGTCGATTTACTGTTTGACGGGAAAAACAACAATTCTGTACCCTGCAAACTCGCTTATTTTTAAAGTCGCAATGGCTCCCACGCTTCTGAAAAGAAAATAGACCAGCCTGTGTTTTCTGTGAATGAAAACCATTCAGATACTTTGGCAAAAAAGACCATCTGCAAAGCAAGATTAGTCTTGCATAACAATCTGTGAAAAGGTGATATGAGTGCTGAGAAAAAGATTTGCAAATTAAATATGACAAATTCTTAGTAATAGTTTGTTACTCTATTGTGCCCTATGAAATTCACTCGAAACTGAATGAGACATCTATAATGAACCTTCATTTCAAAATCTGTGCTTTCACAACTCTGTGTACATTTCTGTTTGGCTAGTGCATACAAGTAGCAAAATGCTGAAACACTAACAAAACATCCTCTATCCATCACGCCGTAGCACCTGCAACTTGGCCTGCACATGGGATTTACACAAACCCAAACAAGCAAGCAGCATTAGCCATTAGCGCGATCACCTCAGGTTTGTCTTCTCATTTCTCAACAAAAACTAAAGCCACGCTGAGCCTGGCAAAGATGGGACCTGGCACAGGACGGTGCCATATGTGATATATCAAAAGGGATCCAAGCTGGGCTGAAGCTGAGTCAGATAAAACCACAAGTGGCTGAGAGATAGTAAGGGGGTGATTCAAGCGAGGCTCAATGAAGCCTCAGTGACAGCAGGGAAGATCAGTGTGGAAAGAAACAGGTGGAGGATACTGGGGGGAAAAAAAAACAACAACAACAAAAAAAAAAACCCCAGAAATCCTCAATATTCCAAAAAGAAAATCCTCTTTTATAATATTGCACTGGACTGATTTAAATGTGGGTGCAGAACTTAGAAGACATCACAACTACAAATCTACCAGGTTACAAAGTGACGAAATACAGGAGGGGACAACTGTAGCCACAGAGGAAAAAGGTGGGAGAGTGAAATAAATAAATAAAATAAATGCACGGTTTTTAATTTTTCTGAGTGAGCTTCTTATCTTTTTATTGATTTGCTTGACCAGCTGATGGAGCTGTAGGGGGGATGGGGGAGACTGAGGTTTGGGCTCCTCACCATGGATACATAAATCTTATCTGCTGCTCTGCTGATGTGTTAAAAGACTATCTCCGTGGTTGTTTGACAGCGCTCACACAGGCACCTGAACAAAGACACCCAAGGTAAGAAGCACATGCTGCTTTGGAAAGAGTATTTAGCGCGACAAAGGCAGCGTTACGCCTGGTGAGAGTCAATGGAAGTGTTAAAACCCTCTGGGCTCTCCTGTCATTACTAAAAAGTAACCCCGACTATAGTCAGCAGAGATTAAAAGAAAAGAACAGAGTAGCAGCACTCACTAAATATAAAACTATTTTATTCTTTCAGTTAGTATTCTTTTGAAAACTCCCGATCAATCCTCACCTTCCTTGGCTCAGTGCTTACAGAAAACCAGCTTAATACAAAAATCAGGAAACCGATAACCAATACCATGTGACAATGTCCCTCTTAGCTATCAAACAATAGCCCCAAAGCACCTCCAGTGATAGTCACACTGAGAAAATTATGCAGCTTTATTTCCATGGCATGTTGTTTTTTCCCCCATGGTGTGTATAAATATGTGTGTGAGGCACAAAATGACGAGCATGTCGCCTGATTTGTCTCTCAGGACTGAAAAATTTGGGCTGTAAACAACAACTCAGGGCTGAGACAACACATGATGAGCTCTTTGCTCATTTTCCCGTTCCCAAATTAAACCTCACCATTCTGCTACACTGAACACCAGGACAGTCAACACTGACAGAGGATTAACACAATCCCACATCAGCACGAAAAACAAACCACATTTTTAACCACAGGTTTTGATCCGAGAGCTGCGGAAGCAACAGGAAAGTGCTGCAGTTGTGAAAAGCTGCTTATCAAAATAACTTTCCTAAATGTCTGGAAAATGATGCTTCTTAGAGAGCAACCACTGGGATGACCTGCTGCTCTCTGGCATCAATTTTAGAATTACCCTTATTTCTCAAGACCTGATCACTTTGGTGAGAGAGGTGAACTATTATACAAAGGGCTGCTGCGCACACAATCTGACATAACCTAAAGTTATAAAGCAACAACAGTTAAATTTAGCGTATAGACTGCAACAACATAAGGCGAGGCTGTTTTTAACTTATAAATAGAATAGAATTAGAATAGAATTCAACTTTATTGTCATTGCACATGTCACAGGTACAGGGCAACGAAATAAAGCATCCTTGGTGGTTTGCTTCCGCATTAGCTTTTCATCCCTTCATCTGTGCTGGTATGTGTTGTACTATGTGGCACCTGGGCCTCTTTATCCTTCAGCACAAGTAGCCAAAGCATCTCCCTTACAGTTCAGTTCATTTTACGAAGCAACTCTGTGTCCCCCAAAGACAGCTCTGTAAAACAATGTGCCTAATAAACACAATTTCTCTCCCCATCTCACACCAAACGACTCCCTACTTCCAACTTTATTACTTCTAAGGGGGACAAAGCACTGTGAAAAAAGAGACGCTGTAGGTGGACAACAAGTTCCTTCTTGCACTTTAGAAAGAAAACAAACAAACAATCTGTCAGAGTGTCTTGCAGGGAGGTTTATTCTTTCGCAAGTTAGATAGTGCAGTAGTCATGGAGTAAGTGCTGAACAGGCTGGGTCATGCTTCATTTAGAGAATAGAGAATGGGGACAATATATAGAATCCTTTTTTCATATGCAAATGAGTACAATTACTGCATTACAAGCAACCTCAGAGCCTAAAAATACTACGCATGCAAGAGCCAATGGCACGACCACCATCAGTCTCGTCTTACTGCCATTATTGGACTAGGTAAGTTGACGAGCATCTTATGGTTAAAAAAAAAAAAAAAAAGGATTCTGTGATGGCATGTGTGACTCAGCAGACAGCGAAGCTACCCGCCCTCTGTGCTGCTGAATTTCTCTGTCAACCTCACTGATTTCACTAAGAGACTTAATCGATCTGTGTACCAACAGAAACCAGCTGCATTTTTCTCTAAGCATGACCAAGAAATTTCAAATGCTTTCAAACAAAAAAACAAGTAAATACAGATAAAACATGCCTTGCAAAAAGCTGAAATACGGAGCCGATTAATTATTCACTGATATCTATGTGAATTTAAATTTAATTCAATTATCACCAGCTGTTTTGTTATGGTACAATCGTCCCTTTTTCTGAATACACAGCGCAACCGAATTACTATTTATCTTGTGATAATAACTCAAGGGGCTCAATACACACAATCACCTTGTGTGTTCTTTTATTCATAAGCATTCTAGTCAACTTGTTTACTAAGATTAGTACTTGCTTTCAAATCAAAGTGTTTTTCTATTGATCCATGTCAAAAAAAATCAAAAACAAAAAAAAACAAACACCAATCACATCCACTGTGATTTAATGTGTCAACCAAAACAAAACACACAAAGGTCCAGTGGGCTGCCAGCACTTTTTAGAGGAGCTGTAATTCAGACTGAGGATGAAAGTGCTGCAGACGGGTCTGTTCTGAGCTACAGTGATACAAGGTGTTTCAGAACAAATGAGCTAGCAGTTATCAAATGACTGTCCCCGTTAAGAAGCTGGAAGGCTTGATGCCTCTAAAATGAACAGCTAATTAAAAAAAAGACACCTCTTAAAAAAGCACCTGTGTTATGTTTGCCAGAGAACTGAGTTATTGCTTGATAGATGCATTAAGAACAGTTAAGCAAAGTGCAAAGCAAAGTGGCTCTTAAGGCAAAGTTTCCATCAAGTGAAGTGAACCCGAGGCAGCTGAAGACTGACAGACTTTAATTTGCTAATGTTTGCAGCTTGAATTTGTTAAAAGTATCCTGCTGGCTTGTCTGTGTCAACAACTTCTAGTCCCTTCCAGTCTCTTTTCTCTTTCCTTCCAAGTTCCTCGTTAATTTAAGCAGTATAGCAGCTGCAGCTAAAGCCCTGGGCAGTGGAGGGTCTCCCTGTGGAGTCTGCTGCCAGAGTCAGGAATAGAGTCTGCCCTGGGTGCAGTAGCCACCAAGTGAGTTTTGCAGGATGAGTAAGGACTCCCAGTGGAACAGTGATTACAGGGCACACACGTCATGTGGAAAAAGACTAAATGTGTATAGCTGGGAAAAAAAGAACATTAACCACTTCCTTGTCATTGAGTCTTAGAGGTGCAATTAAACCAGCACTGAATTACTTCCTGTGGAAGATGCCGTTTGTTTCTCTTCATTACAGCATCAGCAACTAAAGCAAGTCATTAAAGGTAATTTGATAT